TATCGCCATATAACCAGATTGGGAGACCTTCACAATACCATCCTGCAACGAATGGTACAAGGAGGAAAGCGAAAGATACACTAAAGAATGGGATGGTCAGACAATGTTGACATAAGGACTGGCAAAAGTTTGGCCCAGACCCAACCACTGGCCAATGACCAGATCAAGTAGAGTCCTCTTGTTGGGCAAGCCACTATGTAGCACCCCTACAACCCTATGTACACCTGAAAGGTGATTCTTTGTTTTTATATATATATATATATATAAATTTGTGTGTGTGTCTGTAAATATTTCAGATAGAGTATATCTGTAAAAATACAATATGAATAAAGACCAAAGGAAAACTTATCTTAGCATTTGCTTTGATAAAGTCCCTCACAAGCCAAAACACATCAGCCAAAATAAGTTTTCCTTTCACATTTATTCATATACACTACAGTTCAAAAGTCTGTCAACCCCTGGTCATTTTTTTAAATTGACCCCAAAAGTAGTTCTTTTGTACTTTAAATAAGAGAAAATTATTATACATGGCTAAGGAAAGTGAGATATGTTTTTGTTTTTTTTTTTAAATTTTATTGACAAAAAAAAAGCATTTTATGATTAAATTTTGCTCTCATAAAAATATCCCTCTAACCCTCGCACCTCTCGCCTGTGGAACTTCCCTATTCCAATTTCCCTGATAGCTATAATCTCCAACTATTCAAATGTAATGCCAATCGACATCTCCAGTTGCCTTGATCTATCCACTATCCTTCTTCTCATCCTTTCCTCTATCATTCCTATCTGATCTTACTCCAAATCTTCTGTAACCCCTTGCGTCCTAGTGCCTTCTCGCCTTGCTTGGGGTGAAACGCTTAAAAAAAAAAGATAAAAGACTTGATTACCGCTGGACAAATTTGTGGCATTGGTTGAAACTTTTTCTCAAAGTATAAGTTTGATAATTGATTCCATTCTTTTTTCAATGACTCTTAGATCTTTTTTTTTTTTCATTTTTTGTTTTCACTCTTCTGTCGAGTTCAGCCCAGGCTAATTCTGGGGTTGCTTCAAACTTTTGAACTGTAGTTATATATATATATATATATATTTCCACCAATAACTTTCTTCATATGTGATCTACTAAGTTCAAATTATATCCCAACCAAGCTACAATGCTAGCAATGATACTCACTAAATATAAAATAAATACATTTATTCCTAAAGTACATAAAGAAAAAAATATAAGCATAGTTGATATAAATCATTATAAATTGCATGAATATTTGAGTATAATTTATTTCCCATCTTCATGCAACCATTTGACACTTTCATATAACTTTTGGCAACATGCAATATTACAGCATTGAGCCTTGTCTTTGGCACATTATTCATATGACAATTGTCTTCAACTTGTTCCACCATGGTGAAGACAAAGGAACTTGGTATTGATCAAACAACCAATCTTAATAAACACAAGACTGGAAATGGGACACAACTGAGTTTAACTGGGACACTTTAAAAAAAAAAAAAAGTGGAAAAATATTTTTAGAATAATTTTTGTAGGTTAGCATTCATTAGATTTTCTTAGTTTGTCAGAATCAAAAAATATTTTTTTTATCATTTTAGAAGTGGTGTCCTGTTCATAGTATAAATACAATATCAACTCAATCCCTGACTTTTTAAAAAGTTATCTGTGCTTTATTTTTATTTACAAATACCAAATTCTATTGATGACACTGATTACTGCATACAACAGATGTTTTCATTCTCCCAAATTCTGCTGTTAGTGATTTTTTTTTTGTTTTTATTTTAAATATTTTTGTATAATGCCTTCAATTCATATTGTGTGTATTATAGTATCCTGGCCGCATTTCTTGGCACAAAATAATAAAACGCAAAAGATATGTCTTATTCAATAATGAGTTGACTGCCACCATGTGCAGACTGATTTTTTTAATCAGTAATAATATTTTTAATGTGTGTGTGTGTATGTATGTATATATAGGTGTGTGTATATATATATATATGTGTGTGTGTGTGTGTGTGTATATATATACAGGGTGTTGAAGTAAAATCCAGCACTTGACAAAAAGATAATGAAATAGGCAATAAAAACAAAAGTTGTATATGCAGAGACCCGACAGTTTATTTAACAACAGTTACCTACTACATTATTTTTCAATGTAACTGCCGACGGCGGCAATGACCATCTCAAGGCGGGTGCAAAATGAGTCACACACTTTGGCAACCATGTCCTTGTCCATAGCGGCGAACATCTCCATGATGAAAGCCTTCAGAGAGTCAACTGTGTTGTAGGTGTGCTTGTTGGTCTTGGCCTCGATCATGCCCCTTAAGAAATAGTCAAGGGGGTTGCAGTTGGGTGAGGAGGGCAGCCACAAGTCCGGCTACAAGTCTGGTGAAGAACATTGTTTAGCAGCCACACCTGGATCATCTTGGCCTTGTGTGCAACAGTGGAGTCCTGCTGGAAGACATAGGGGCATCCGGCAGCAATCTCGTCCATCCAGGCCTTCACCATGCTGCTCAGCACCTCCTGGTAAATCTCAGCAGTGACTCTCAGGCCCTTTCAAAAGAAGAACGGAGGCATGATGTCCCCCTTGCTGGAGATGACACCAAGGACCATGACGGAAGAGGGAAACTTTGTATACTTCATGACGAGAACCTCCTCGATGTCTTTGCAGATCCACCGGTCATTTTGCCTGTTCTGATCTTGACATGGCTCTGGCTCCACACCATCATTGTAGACTGTCTCTTTGATGGTGGCGACAAACTTGTTGGTCTTAACGACCGAAGAACGAACGTTGTGGGCCTTTCGTTTGGCAGTAAACTCATTCCTGTTTTCACACGGCTTCCACTTCCTCCAAATGTCCATGACCATGGTCCTCTTGAACCAAAACCAGACCATCACTTCCATGGGCTTCTTCTTTTTGTCAAGTGTTGGATTTTGCTGCAACACCCTGTATATATATATATATATATATATATATATATATATATATATATATATATATATATATATGGGTATCTGTCTATATTTCTGAGATGAAGTATTATATACGCTATTTACATTATTAGGACTATTGTCCTCATCGTTGTTCCCACAGTAGCATCCTAACTGTAATGGATACTGCCAACTGTTGGTTCCTTTTTGTTCTTTTACTAATGTTCACCATATAAAAGCCCAAGTGCCACTCAAGGTAGAGGCTTACTATGTGGAGTTGTATTAGTGTAAGAACGAGCAAGATAACAGGAAAGATAGATGAGGAGGTTAAGATTTAATTGGCAAATAAAATTTCAGAGTTCAGGCCGTGATATTAGGATTATAGAGATGAAGTAGGCTTTAGAAGGAATCAGAAACCCAATCCTAAGTAGGAAACAAAGGATGAACCTCTACTCCTATTCAAAAGACTTGCAAAGTGTGTGAACCAGACAATAGGGAGACCAATCTACTGCTATTGGGAGAGGAAAATAATAATTATTACTGAAGAAAATTTCAATTTTCAGGCAGAGATGTTAGAAATACACAGTTGAAGGAGCCAGAAACCCAATCCTAAACTGGAAACAAGGGATAAACCTCAGCTCAAAAATGAGTGAGGAGTATGAACCAGATGATAGGTGAACCTGTCTACTCCAATTAGGAGAGAAGAAAAAAATAATTAATGAAAAGCAATTCAGAGTTCAGGTGGAGATGTTAGAAGTATAGTGTTGAAGTAGACTTTAGAAGGAACCAGAAACCCAATCATAAACATTCCTGTTGAATGGGATGAACCTCTACTCCTGTTCAAAAGACCTAGGAGGAGTGAAAACCAGCCGATAGGCAAACCTATCTACTATTGAAGAGAAAAAAATAGTAAATAAAATTTCAGAGTTCCAGTGGAGACATTAGAGAGCTTAGAAGGGACCAGAAAGCCAATCCTAAACAGGAAACAAGGGATATAACTCTGCTCCAGTTCAAAAGATCAGGAAAGAGTGTGAATTAGATGATAAGCAAACCTATCTACCTCTGTTGGAGGAGGAAAAAAAAATGTTCAGGTGGAGATGTCAGAAGTACGGAAGTGAAAGAACTGGAAACTTAATCCGAAACAGGAAACAAGAGATAAACCTTTATTGCTGTTAAAAAATCAGGGAGGAGTATGAACCAGATGATAGGCAAACCTATCTACTCCTTCTATACTGGAGAGCTCTTCTGCCTTACCAAAGGGAGCATTGCTGATGAAAACAGTGCTTAGAAACTGCAATCCACCAGCCAGCTGCTACTGGCTTCACTTTATCTGTGCTATGGGAAGCTTAGGGGTTGGCAAGACTTGCTCACAGTCTCGTCCCAACCTAGTGGAGGGAAAGTGTTAGTTTACTTCTCCATTGGTGAACTGCAATGAAAAGATCAGTCATACCCTACTGGCCCAAGCAGTCCCAAATTGTGTACTAACAATACCTCTACAAGAGAGAATTTACTTTGCAATTTTAACTGTAACATTTATATGGTGAATGCTTGGTGGACAGACAGATACTATTCTTGATAGAATTGCCCTACAGTTTATGTATTGCAAATTGTTCAAGGCTGTATAAATGAAAAAGGAAGAAAAAATACAGCGCAATTTGTTTAACATCTTAGCATCAACTAAAAAAATATAACACGCCACCAGAAATTCAATCTTAGAATTAGGATTTTATTTATGGTTTTTCTTGTATTATCAAAAGTAACATTTTTTTATTTTTTTTTTTTTACGGTCGTACAAGCTGACAATGTAAAAATTTATTCCTTCAGGCTGTCACTTTGAATTTCATAAAGAATGGTTGAGATTTTAAGATTAAATTGTTTATATTTCGTTTCTTGAATTAATTTTTTTTTTTTTTTCAAAGACGGAAGCAATAAACAAAAATTTCAGTACAAAAAAGAAAAACATTTAACAATATTTCTATCAGATTGTTATTTTACCAGTGGCTTCTTTGACTGGAAAATGTCATTGAAAATTATTCCTTATTCCCTATTCTTTATCCATCTTTATCCAGTTCTCATACAATCACCAAAGTTAAGCACTGTCAAGCCTGGTCAGTACTTAGATGGGTGACTCCTTGGGAATACCAGGTGTTGTAAGCTTGCATGGTATGATGCAGTGGTTCCCAAACTTTTTTCTTTGGGCCACATTTGAATTTAAAGTCAGAACATTATCATTGATAACTCTCTTCTCCAATTCGCAGACCATTGTTCCTATATAATATTTGATATTATGCAAAAATATCACAATGATAAAATCGGTCAATAATTATTTATAGCTATTTATACTGGGACTCATGCATGCAATTACAAGTAATCTATAATAATATTTTAAATTTTGAAATCATATTTATTTTTGGCATATGAATTTTTTTAAATCTGTTTCTAAATCTTTGATTGCCTTTCAACCATTCCACCTCACCTGCTATCTTCTTCCGCTGCACCTATGAGGCCCGCTGCACAGTTTGGAAACCACTGGTATAATATATGGGGTAATGGATAATTGCTCAAAGTTGGTCATTAGGGAGCCAAGTTCCAATTACTGTCAGGTTTGTTATATTTACTTACACACAAATACCCTTGGGAAAGGAATGAATCCACTTCTTTTCCCACAAGATATGGGTTAATTAGTAGAATCTGTATCAGTAAATCATTATTTGTCTATATTTCTGAGATGAGGTATTATGTACACTATTTACATTATTCAGACTATTGTCCACATCTTTGTCATCATATTTATTACAACATTTTGGCTGTTGTACGCTCCAGCCTTCTTCAGGTTGGAATGTCGAACTGAACCCTTTATTTTGCTCACTGGGGTAGACTGTTCTAGTTCCATGTGTCATGTTTAATGGATATCAGTTATCAGTTATCTCCTGTTAATTCCCCTCTGAAAGTTCTTCAATGCCTTAACCGGGTATTGAACTCACATTCTTTGGGTCCTGTCACTGGATCTAACCAACGCTTTTATCCACTATGCCATGTGTCCTTACACTCTAAAAATATTTTCTGGTTTTAAATAACCTGAAAAGGGTTGATAGCTGTAAAAATCAATTCCACGTCCTTCTGTAAGTAAAAGGTATGATTGCTAATTGCTATATGTGGATAAAAAACACATATCATGTCCACACAAACAAGTATATACACAAAAGCTGGGTATTATCTACCATGTATTCAATTGTGAAAGCAGAATAACATATTTTTATGACTTCAAAGCTCCCTAGAAAATCAAACAAATTACATCTATCTTTATCTTTCTGTTCATATCTACCTCCTAATTTTTTAGCTGTTACTAAATGCTTCATGTTCAAGTTGAGCTTGATTACGGAGATATATTTATATACTAATATGCATATGTTGTTAGAAAAGGATTGCAATATTTATATAGTATCTACCTAACTGCCTGTATATGTCAAAAGAAAAAATATATTAAAGTTTCACCCACATTAAAAGATCAATGGGATAAAGGAGTGCTAATACTCAACACGGTAAGCCAGTTTGTCTATGTCCTTCTTTCGTTTCCCCCCCTCCTTCTTTTCATCTGCTACATCTTTTCTTCTTCTATATGCAGCATCCATTCAACACATGGCCGATCTTGGCTTTCCAAAACTTCTTATCTCATGCAGCCCTTATCTGTTTTTTCTCTATTGCTAAGGCATCCTGTCACCTATTCCACCGTTTATTCTCTTAAACTCATAGGGTAGGTGGCTCCCTGCTCTCTTGCTCTCAATATGTCCATAAGGGTTAACTTTCCCATGCCCTCCTTCCTAATTATGTTTGTTTTGTTTTATGTTTTATTTTGTTTTACGGCATATCAACCTCAATGGGATATTTAATGCTGACAAGATTTTTTGGATAGATTCATATGAATAGAATATGTATTCTTTGTATGAAATCTGTTTTGTCTTGTTTAAAAATGTATTGCTTGGTAATAACTGTTTTTTTTTTGTTTTTTTTTTTTTCAAAAATGTATTGCTGGTAATAATATTTTTTTTACAAAGTATTTCTGTACATTATTTACATTATTCGGACTATTGTCCTCATCTTTGTTGCCATATTTATTACATTTTGGCCGTTGTATGCTCCGGCCTTCTTCAGGTGGTTGGAATGTCAAACTGAACCCTTTATTTCGCTCACTGGGGTAGACTGTTCTAGTTCCACGTGCCATGCTTAATGGATATCAGTTATTAGTTATCTCCTGTTAATTCCCCTCTGAAAGTTCTCTGCCTTAACCGGGTATTGAACTCACACTCTTTGGGTCCTGTCACACTGGATCTACCTAACATCTGTGTATGAATTTCTGGGTATTATAAACCTAATGTCTTCAGCATCATTTTTTACCAGTGCTCATATTGCAATTTTTGCCTGTTATCATTTCATGTTTTTAGCAGAGCTCATATTGCAATTTTTGTTGTTATTATTGCAATGATAACAGCAAAAATAGCTTGGACCCTAACAGGTGTTACCACCCTGGGTTAGGGTGGACCTGGAAACACTAGCAATTAAGAGGTGGTTCCAAGCTCCTCAAAACCTTCTGATCAGTGGCCTTGCTGTTGGACATAGTTTCTAGTCTTACCCAGGACACGGATGTCATGTCCAGGACGGCCTAATTACATTTAAGGAATTTCACTTGTCTCTTCCTGATTCTGAGCATAAGTGTTTTTTAAGATAGCCTCCTTGCTTACTCATTCCATCCATGGGACTCTCAGTATTCTTCTTTAGAACCACATTTTTGGCGATACTTTCAGCCATTATCAAGGACTATTTTATTTTTATTTTTTAACTGAATGTATGGGTTGTGTGTATGTGTCTAGAGTTATAGGGTTATTTTATTTACCAAACACATTCAGCACATTGTGGTCATGTTTGTAGTTAATGTTATTGAGTGTTGGCTTTTTCTTTTTTATTAATAATGCTTCCATTATTTTTAGCTTATTTTTTTTACATGTGGATGAGGTTATTATGCTTGTATTTTCTACTAATATGTTTCAGATGAAGTTTGGTAGATTTTTTGTGTGTGTTTAAATGAGTTCTAATAGAGCTGTGGTCGGATAAATGTAACAGAGGTCTTCTGGATAGGCATGTTGTAGTGTGACCGATGTAATTATGAGTTTGGTTTGATCAGGAAAACAGTTCCTTAAGGGGCATTTGCACTCATAAATAATGTTGGTTCTTTGTAGTTTTGATTTTGCAGGTGTCCTGTTATTTTTTTATGATAAAGTTAACTATTTTAAATTTTTTGTAATAGATAATGAATTTCATTTTCTTGTTTGGGTCAACTGGGGTAGTGTATTTCTTTATGATATTTCTAAGCGAAGATACATCTTGCATTTAATTGATGTGCATTTGGCTTTTGTAGAAGATATTTATGTTATTGTTTTTATCTATGTGTTCAGTATCATTATTATTTACTTTAGAAAGAAATAGTCTAATCTGGTAATCAATGAGGTAGTTAGGAAAACCATTGTTAACTAGTGTTTGTTTCCTATTGTTGAGTTGCTTAAGAAAAAGTAGAGAGGATGAATTCTCTTTAGGATATTTGGGACAGTTTTTACACACTTTGTGTTCAGAAAAGCAAAAACTTATACAAACACAAGAAAAATTAAATAAATAAAAAGCTTAATTACATACATATATGTATATATATATATATATATATATATATAAATGTAAAAGACAATAGGAAAACTGTAATAGTTGTTGACGTGTTTTGTCCGATGTGGACTTTCTCAAGGCAAAACGAAATGAATTTATTAAACGAAGTAACTAATAACAAAACAAAATATCCTTAGACACTGGAAGAATTTAGTGAACGCTATTTTCATACTGTTAACTGAAATTATGTCATTTACTGTCACATGTGGAGATATTGTTTTTACTGCTGTATTAACGGATTCAACAAGTTTCTTTTGATTTCTTGATACTGTTCTGTACGTGTGTTTGGGAGAGAAGTAATTCTGTTAAGAAAGGTGAAATAGGGAAAAAGCCTGGGCATAGATTAATATTTGGGTAATATTCAATGGCAGCACTCTCGAGGATTTTCCTTCTGAGTGAGTTATTTTCTTTTTTTTATGAGTGTAGCATTTTTAAAATAAAAATTATGGTTGAATTTATTTCTATGTATGACTAGTGCATTAGCTAAGTTCTCTTTTGTGCTCATAAATGCATTTTTTTAAATTTCTACTTGTTTCTCCAATATATTGGGAGGAACAGTTTTGGCAATTTATTTTATAAAAGCCTGCTTCAGAAATATTCTTGCTATTAGTGTTTGAGGATCTGAGTATATCCATAATGGTTTTGGAAGTGTTTCTGACTATTTTAAAATTATTTAGATGGGATAGATTGTTCTGGATAGTGGACGTGACAAAGTTGGTCAGTAGTATTATGTATCTATTTTCATGTAATTTATTATTGCGGATTATGTTATTAGTTTTGTTTCGGTTGTATATTTTGTATGCCTTTCTTCTTGCATTGTGGATGAAATGATATGCGCATTGTAGGTTTTTGAATGTGTTTTCTATGTATGTTTCTTCTTTAAGTAAATATTAGAGACTGCAGATTCTTAATGCTCTTAGAAACCTATAATAATTCCAGATTTAATTTTAGAAGAGTAGTTTGAGTAAAAACTGATCAGATCATTTTTGTTTGTAGCCTTTCTGTAAATTGTCAAAATTGAGTTTGTTATTATTTCTATGCAATATGATGTCTAGGAACGGAAGAGTGTAGTTGGTTTCAGTTTCAAAAGTGAAATTTATTGTAGGCTCAACGTTGTTAAGTTTGGAGAGAAGATCCATTAAATTCTCTCCAAACTTAACAACGTTGAACCTACAATAAATTCTTTTCCATTTGTCTTATCTATAATATGATACAGTTGCTTGTCTCTGGGAGTGTTGAACAACACACAACATTTGCCTGAATGGATGTCTACAACGGGGATTAGCTAGCCACCCTGACAGACAGATCTACTGAGAAATGAGCAATCAGCCATTTACTTACTTAATGTGATACATCACCCAGTTTTGAATTTGCTTGGCCCTCCTGTTGTGAGGCAAGACTCTTTATGAATACCTCAGTCTACTATGTAGACAGGTAAGATTTTTT